TTTGTGAAGTATGGGGACTTATCACTGCTGTCTATGGGAATTTACTTGTAGTGGTGCACCCCTATGGGCTCTGATCCGCTACCCGGACTGCATGCCGGGTGCCATGTTTAGCGATGAACTCGACCCGTCCAGGCGTGACGGAAACGGGGCCTTTGCCATCGACGGGGACGGGCCAGTCTTTCGACACGTTCTGCACCTCCTGAGGCGCAGCAGGCTGATTCTTCCAGAGGACTTCAGTGTCTGGGACTTGCTGGAATCGGAGGCAGACTTCTACTAAATTCAAGATCTGACAGCCGCGGTGTTGTCGCTCCAGAAGGAGAGGGCACAGTCAAAAATGGAATTTGTTGAAGTTTCAGAGAACACAGATTCTATGGTTTTCAGATACCGTGGCAGCTGGGAAATCTTGGTGCAGTTTCCCTATGACTTGACCACCGTTATGTTTGAAGATTGTTTTGACAATTTAGACAGCCCTGAGACTCGCACGTTTCGCAGAACACGGTCACATGAACAAATATGTTCCGACCTAAAAGAAATGTGAAGCTCGAGGGAGCCTGGGGCACTATCTTTAGGAGAGGAACTTGGGGAGGTTTGCAAGCCTCCTACGGAGGATTCTTCGGTATCGATCAGCAATATTATGTCACTAGAAGCCCGCCTGACTGCATGAAGATCTTCCAACATGCATCCGGGCTCGGCTTCGAGTGTGTTACGTCGTCAGTTAGCAATGGAGAGAAAACACGGCTGTTTGCTAGAAAAATGATTTCCTCAGGATAGCACGACTGTGAGTACTAGTGAGAATTGATCTTTTATTTACAATAACCCTGTTTATGTGTATGTAAAATTGTCAAAAAGTAATATAAACTGTTTGACCCAGTTCATCCTAATCAGGAATAATTCGCTGGGGCCGTTTTACATAATGGCTGAGTAAAGTGGGGATGTGGGTAAATGTTGAAAAAATTGATGTGGCGGTTACCATCAGCACATTTGTAATGTTAACACCCTTCGCTTTTTCGGTCCCCAGTTATGGCATGTTTTTAACATTAATCTGAACGAAGTAATTCGTGGATCAGTTTAATACCTATTAAGTAACATACCTGTCGTCTCCTGGGTACTTACGGTTAATATTCCCTTCTTTATTTTATTGTCATTTAGTTGTCATACAGTTTTGTAACTGTTTGCCGTCAGCTATAATTCATGTCTTTTATGTCTTGTCCGTCCTCTGCTTGTGACTGAGATTTGTTGGTGTTGTTGTTTTTGTTATGTCTTTTGTCTCTAGAGCTGTTTCTAAGAGCCTTGGCTTATTTAGCAGCCTGGTGTCATTTCATTTTGTCATTTGTACATAGACTACTTTTTTCGTATTATAAAATAAGCTTTATATAGCTCAAGTATCCATGAATGACAAGAATTCTGAGCACGTTCAGTGAGCCTAGTGATTGCTGGGATCTGGATTTTCCCAGTGGCAGAAATACTGGAACTACTTGACAGAGAATAATGTCAAGGTAAAAAGTCTTTTGTCACAGTAGTACTGCAGAGTAGGCCTACGTCAACGTGATTTTAAATTCGAGGGATTCCCCAACGCCATCTGAGTAGGTCTCGCCATGATAGGCATGGTAGGCATCGCTCGTTGTGAAAATGTGTCCAGTAATGTATCAGACAATAGGCCTACATGTATACGGCCGTACCGTGTCCGTGCAGGAAACAGACCTATATGGGGGCAAATTTAGTACTTAATTGTTGCAAAAAGCAGTCAAAAAAGCCAGTCTTTCGACAAGTCCTGAACTTTCCACGGCGCAGCAGACTAATTCACCCGCAGGATTCCTGGTGTTTCTGTTTTCAAGTAGTGAAAAAAAAAACTGTTATTAGTTTTTATCAATAAATTATTTTTTAATTAAGACAATACATCTGCAACTAAGTATGGAGTAGAATTTTCCAAGTCTTACATTTCATGACTTTGTAAAAAATACCTCAATCCATAACATAAAAGTGATAAAAAAATGTGTATTGAAAAAGCTGGTATTTTCGAACGCGTTTATCTCGGATTGTCTGTTCGCCATATTTGGAGGTCTTTATCAGTTCGTGACAACACCGACAACGAATTCAAACACCTCAATGGTAAGTGGTGGATTCATGTTCCGACCTTTAATTATATGCAAAATAGGTCACATGGGACCAATCCCTGCGTTGTGGTTGGTCAAACTTAAACTGTCTGTTTTTCGTAAACATAGGGCGTTGGCTGACGATGAAAGAGCTACAGTCATTCACACTCAGTGGATAGCTCTGACTAAACAGCTCAAGATTCTTGACTGCCAGGAAAATTGAAGTTATCCGATCGCTTTGGTAAATAGGTAAGTCAGAACCAGACATCTATAGTTCAATGGAGCTGGATGTGAATGCTGATTTTCAGAGTGTATGAGTCAGTATGGGTGTATGAATGTGTACCAGTAAACATGTCTGTTAATAAAGCGATCGTATGTATGTGAGTTGGGCACGAGTACCACGTTTGCCTTGTGTAACAGTGATATCTGAACTTGAGAACCCAATTCATTTGTTGGACTTACAGATAGTCTAATACTTGTCACAAATATGAAAAAAAGAAGAAACTTCGAGAGAAAAAGTCTCAATCAACCCAGCACTGCCTTGACCACTGGACTGCCGTGTGCATTTAATGTGACCCAAAGCAAACATTGTTTCTCGATCTCCTGTTCTAAATTCATTCTGACACTTGAAAGATTTCAGTCAGTCATTTTTGGGAGAGTGGTTGCTAGTGTTCACAGTATAAGCAAACAGTTCCAACTGGAAGTTGATGCCATGCCTCCCATGAAAACCGATAGCTTTTCCCCCAAAGGCTTAATATCTTTTACAAGTCATTCGCGCAGTCGATGAATCTGTAATGCCTCCAAACTTCCGAATTTCCCAAACAAACGGCCGTCGGCAAAATATAATCGTGCTTTCGTCTACCTTTCAGACTTTGAAAGCTCTCTACCATTCTTTTTTTCTTCGATCACTTTCAAAGATGAATCTGAACAGCGCGGAGGGAATTGTCAGTAATTAAAATGGTCAACAATCAGCCTGTTTATGGGGACATTATTTTTGGTTACAAAGCAATTCGATTTACAATGTAAATGTGTCTTCTCTTTATTACAAAAGGATCGTCATATTCAATTTACTTCCTGAATGGCCATTTGGATATTACCATTTAGAGTCACTAGATGTTTAATTTTGTTTATTTTATTTTCCGATTTGTTGGATTTGATTGGTAAAATTAAGTAGAATTTGTTTGATGAGTGGAAGCAGTTACATTGCTTATCTCTGAGAAATGTGCGTTGTAAAGCGTATATCAAACCGATAGGCTTCTGTGTCTTCATTATGCTACTTTATATTAGAAATGGGAATACTGTGGCCTTGTTAAACAAATATTATTTCATTGAAATTGCATCTGTTTTCCACATCAGTCGACCCGAGCAATTTGGGCCTACTACAAATGTTATTACCAAAATCATTTGGGATTCCTGGGAATCCAATTCGGAGTATGGACCAAAATGATGAAACCAAGTTAACGGAGCATAAAACAATTGGTGCTGAGTACTTAGAATCGAATGGTGGTTTCTGAGGAGTTTCTCTAAACAAATTCTGTTCGGATAGAAACGGCTGGTATTGTAACGTTTGAGATTGGAAAAATTTACAAACGAGCCTTTAACGGAACAATGGGCCTAAGCGTCAGTGATACTGTGTAATCCAGAGTTTACTTTGATATCGGAGCAAATTACATAGTGAAAAAAAATTTCTCAATTCAAATTGGCCCAATTTCATCACTAAAGACACAGAATAATGCTTTTGTATGCCTTTGCTAAATGGTGTTCATATGTTGTTTTAGAAAAAAAATGGTTGAGGTACACATAAATTAGCGCTGTATTAGATTATCATAGTAGCTACATAGGGCCTCTCGTTGCAAATTCGTTGAAAAATGAAGCTTTTGATGAAAATTCGCAAAGTGTGAAATTGCGTCTGGAAATGTGTTGGTCTGAGAGTGTAAGGATAGCTGGGATTGGAGGTTTCTAAAGAGGTCGATTCCGGAACTACTTGTCATGGAATAGTGTGGCGCGTATGGGTACATTGAAAACATCAAGATTGAATTGAGGCCCTTTGTCACACTGATATTGCGCAACATGATTGCAAACACCATGGATTTCCCCCGACGTCACCGCGATTGTGTCTGAGGGTGATCTATCAATCGTGGTGAAAATGTCCCGTGCTGTAATCAAACTACACATACCGCCATGTCCATAATAGAATAAACAAAGCCTAGTAGCAGAAAAAAAATAATGCCAAAAGGAACCCCGTCATACCGAGTGGTATGTTATAGTTGCATTTGCTATAATGTATTTTTGACATCATTTCGTTTGGTTTTTAATAATTTGTTGCATTCATGACCTCCCTCGGAAGTAAAATGTGTTAAGCATTTACTTTTCCAATGACATGGTTTTCAGCAACATACCGTTGACAATCAAATGATAATACCGGTATAGTTGTTATATAATATAGATGTACATGATGCGTGCATGTACCATGTTTCTTTACTTGGCTTCACGATCCAAGGTCATCATGGCGTAAGGTATATATCTGTTCACGTCGACAATAATTCACGCTCTTGACTGATTACGTGGATACGGGATCTGCAGGTCTGGCTGGAGTGGTATTAAGTGACCCAGCGGGCACACGACGTAATTACAACGTTGATGTTTGGTTAAAATCTGGTTGGCATGTTGTTTCAACATCGACAACCATAATCCAACTTTATCTGAATATCACTGTTGTGACGTAGTTCTGACGTTGCGAAAAGACTTCTATTAATAAATTGGAAGTACGGTTAAAACCAGTCGCGACATTAGCAACCTAAATTCAATATTTACCCAAAGTTAATGATCCAATACTGTACGTATCGACGTAGAGATATCGACGTTTATTCATAGTTGAGTTATTGTTGCCATTGTGTCGCGATATTAGCAAACTAAATTCCATGTTTAGCCAATGTAAGGCCACAAACGTTGTTTCAGATTTTATATTTCCACATTTATCCAAAGCTTTATTATCGAAATACATGTCGAAATTCCAACAACCTAAATTCAATGCTTTATTAACATTAAGAATAAGACGATGATTCGGTGTATGGAGTAAGACGGGCATCCGACGTTGAATGTTTGTTGATATAAAGTCGGGATATTAACAACCCACACTCTAAAAAACGACGTGCTGATTTAGCACCTGACGATCAAAAAATTAGCACCTACTGGAACTCGCATAGTGAGTGCACGCACTGTGCTTAGTCAGTTCCGGCATTAATGCTACGATAACAGCACTCCAAAAAAGCTACAGACAGTGCACCTCAGGTGCTATGTTTTTGGAACACCTGCAAGGAGCTACATTGATTATGCACTTCAGGTTTTGGGGCTATTTCCTACAACTCCTACACCTAAGGTGTCATTTTTAAACTTTCAGGAGCACTTGCCAGGAGCTAAATGCACTCTTCATGTTCGGTGTAATGTCCTATATTTCTGCACTCCTGGTGCCAATTTGTACTGAAGAGCACCAGAAGAGTAAACAAAGGCTGGAATGAAGAAAAACAAAGGATCTTTTAGCATGAATATCAATCGTTTTATTTCATAACTTTCCAAGCTTAAAACAATGTTTTCATTTTTAAAAGATGGCTAAAAATTCCAAAGATAAATTTTCAAGTGACTCAGCCTCTTCTGAGTCAATCAAATGAGAATCATTTTCAAGAAAACAATCTTGCAATGATTACAACAACAATAATAATTTACAAACTTTAACCCAGTATAAAAGTGAAAAGAAAACTGAACACAATCTATAAAATAAATCGGCCAAGTCTCTGCAAGGAATTCGCACTCACTCTGCTGTGCATTATAATCATTTGTGAATGAGAGGGATGTCATGCATGTTGTACATATAATTGTGAGTATGCTGGTGTGTAGCAACAGCGCCATCATGCGGTGGCAGGGGCATTCCTCATGTTTGCCGTCGCCTCCGCCGTTTTGCCTGTCTACTACTGAAATTAAATA